CCAAAACTATGTGGACCTAATTTTTCTTATCTCATGGCAGACTGAGGGGAACAAGTGACCAGTAGAAACCAGTAGGCTCTTCCCAGTAGAATATGGAATTTAATCAACTCCTCATAATTCTATAGCAACCTTGTCTAAGTTTCTCTCATAAGTGGCACTAGTTTAAAACTTTCCCAATGGAAGGAAGATGTCATCCACTCTCCCAGCTACCTACTACTGAAATGAAAACGGAATTTCTCTTCTGATCTTGCTCCTTGGGCCAAGAATGAAAGAGTCACAGGGGAGACTTTGATCAAGTCAGCTGGAGTTAATTTATTCTGACCACATCTGGGATTTGTCACAGGTATATGTTTCAATCCTCAACTTCGTTTTGTAACAAATACTGTTTGAATTTTTTTTATTTCCCTGATACTGTTCCATTGAACAGTGCAATCATCCATTGTCATTTAATAACATTGACTAAAAGCATCGGCAAGATGGATTGACCCAGTGGCTGTATCAACGGGCTCAAACATAGGAATGAGTGTGAGGAAGGCATAGGACTGGCGGTGTTTTCTTCTGTTGTGCAGAATAGGGTCGCTATGATCTGGAGCTGACTCACCAACACCCAACAAGGACATTGACAGAAGACAGCGTCGGGAGGGACTGCAACATCCGTTTAGTGGGTCTCAAGCACATTTAAAAATTTTGGATAGAATAAAAATGAAACAGCCGCGGGTGCCTGCCATTCAGTAGGTTTCGACTCATGATGATCCTTTGTGTTTAGAGGAGAGCTCTGCTCTGATTGCTTTCCGTGGCTTTGACCTTTAAGAAACATCACCAGGCCTTTCTTCTGAGGAACCTCTGAGAGGTGTTGAAACTGGTAAACTTGATTAGTAGCCCGGCACGGAACCATTTGCACTACCCAGGGGATCCTGGACAGATTGGTGCAGAACAGAGAAATACCAAAAGGCCCCAAACTTCGTAAAGGATCAGTGTTGTTTTCATCAATTTTCTCTCCACATGTGACTAATCTATTAGCTCCATCCATCCATTGAATATTGAATTTAAAATTTTTACTACTGTGAGGTTTTTTTATTTCTCAAAGTTCCATTTCATAAAATTTGTCGTCATTTTTTAAAGCTTCGTATTCTCCGCAGACATCTTGACGCTTTTCTTTTTATAACTTTAAAACAGTCAGTGTATTTGGTTCCCAGTCATTGACTGGTAGTTCCAGTGTCGGAAGGTCCTGCTAATCCGTTTCTATTGTCTATTTTGGGGGCTGGTTCTTGCTGAAAGATTCTAGTTTCCTTGTGATCCTGGTTATTTTGCGCAGTGAATTTTTTTGTCAAAGCAGTTTCACTTGAACCTCATTATTTATAATGGCCAATTGAAAAGAAAAGCATGAGGATGTAACATTTTATTTCCTGCTTGGGAAAAATGCTGCAAAAACTGTTGTGAGGTTGAACACAGCTTACAAGGACAACGCTATGGGAAAAAACTCAAGTGTACAAGTAGTTTTCTCATTTCAAAAAAGGTAAAAAAGTTGATTGATGACAAACCTCATTCTGGATGTCCATCAACTTCCGGAATGGCCAAAAATGTCGACTTGTAGTGTATTTGGAGTTCTTTCCACCAGGTCAAACTGTTAACCAAGCTTTCTATTTAAAGGTTCTGAAAAGATTGCATAACAGTGTGCAACAAAAAAGGTCTGATTAGTGGCAGGTGGGGGACTGGTTTTGCCACCATGACAATGCACCTGCTCGTGCAACCATCTTAGTGTACCAGTTTTGGCAAAAAAAAAGCATGCCTCTCTTATCCCACACACCTTGCTCTGTGCAACTTCCTTTTGTTTCCATGAGTACAGAGGGACATGAAAGGACAGCAATTTGTCAACACAGAAGAAGAAAAAAAACCAGGGAGGTGCTGTCAGCCATCCAAGCAGGTAAGTTTGAAGAATGTTTCCAACAATGGAATCACAGATTTGACAAATGTATTAAGTGTAATGGAGAATACTTTGAAGGTGATAAGGTTTTTTTTGTAAAAAACAATAATAAAATTCTGGTTTTGGGGGGGTACCCTCTTGTTTGAAATCAGAAATAGATGAAATATTTTAAAACAAGCAAATTTTGAAGTAAATTATAACTACTTGATAATTATTATGTAGCTATGTAAATTATGAACATAAATATTATTTAGATCTATGGAAAATATTTATGATAAAGTAGTCAATGCAGAATAGAGAACTTTAGGTACACCCTGTATGTAAACTATGGGAAAGGTAAATACAGGCCCCCCCAAAACTGGAGACAAGAAATCAAATAGAGGAAATTTTACCGGTTTAAAACTTGACAAGTTCTGTGATGAGCCCCTATTCCAGACTCCCAAGAAATCAACACACTAGTTAATGCACAGTTGGCCTCTGCCTTCTCCAGTGCTGTTCTCGCAGAAATACCACAAGGGGGTAGCTTTGACAAACAGAACTTTGTCTTTGCATATTTAGGAGAGCAGTCACTGCCATCCAGTCAGTGTTGACTCAGAGACACCCCTGTGGGTTCCTGAGACTAAACTGTTAACAGAAGTAGAAAGCCCAATCTTTTCCCCACATTTAGGAGAACATTAATTCAAATTCAGGTCAATAGCTTTAGAGTGGGATTGGGGAAACTTTCCTGCCAATGGCCATTTGGATACTTTTAACATCTTTCACAGGCTGTACAAAATTATCTACTTAAACATTAACATGTTTTATTTGGTCAAACATTTAATTAACTTACTCCTAATTGATGGCTGAAACTGCTTCTCTCGGATGAGGTGTGTGATTGATACTACCCTGCTTCCCCGAAAATAAGACAGTGTCTTATATTAATTTTTGCTCCCAAAGATGCGCTAGGTCT